AACTCTCCTAGAACAATGTAAGTTGATGATGTATTAAATATTTGTGTTGGGGATTCTTCCGATTTCCCTGGTCTTCTCTTCTCACAAAAAAAACCTCACGCTGTCTTTTAAAATATGGTAATTGAAGTGACTATTATGCTTATGCACATCATCTTATTTTTGAAATATACAATAACCCTACAGGAACCCTAATTATGAATCATCTTAACTAGGGAGAGTAAATAATCTTCATAGGATAGCCTCCTTTGAAAGCTTTTTAGGAAATAAAATTAAATTCTCCCAAGGATTAAAATTTAGTTTTACATGAAAATTGCATCTCAAACAAAAGACAAAATCTGGCAATATTACATTGAGAATATTTTATGCAAACCTTTTATACTAATCTGAATTTCTAAACTAATTTCTAAATACTTAAGATTTTATCTGGGTTTATTCAAGCTACTTGAAAACAGCAAAAATGAAAAAATAGAGCAATAGATTTTAGAGTTTTTTAAATAGAAAGAATCAAATAGAGCTATTAAAACAGACAGAATAGAGTATAAATAGAAATATGTAAAGAAATAAAGTTATAAAATAATTATAAAATAATTTCTATGTTGAAAATTTGGTATAGTACATGATATTTGATATTTGACAATTTTTATCTTTCCTCACAAATTTTAATGTATCAACTATTCTTTATTCCACTGTGTGTGTGTGTGTGTGTGTATACATTCTGCAAATATTAGGTATTAGGGCAGGCCAATGTAGTACAGAAGCAGAATGAAAGGGAGATTTTCAGTCTAGTCTAGACAGTAGGTAATGATGAGCTCATGCAAAGTCTTATTGTCAGTATATAAAGAGCCAGTGCATTGTTTAAAAACATGTGTAGTTATGCTTCTGATATTTGAGTAGTTAATAGGTGGTATGAATGCAGAAATTAGAAGGGCATTTTTGGACTCCAGATAGGAAATTACAGTAATTTAAACTCAACTGACAGCCACGGAGACAAGGCAACAGGAATATGCGTGAGGATGAGTTGGATAGAGGAGTAAATTGATAAAAATAATGAAAATATCCAAGACAATGACTGGATCATGGTTTTGTTTACCAACACGTGGCATGATAAAAGATGAACAGCCTTTCTGGCAGCTCCTTGTCAATGGACTCCTGCAAGTGTTGTTGAATGAACTCCATCTAAATTTTACTTGCAAGTGTTCTTAATGATCTGTTTCTATAATTTGAGAGCATTCCGTTGGGACACCTGCCTCTGGAATGGGTACAAATATGGATCTCTTTCAGTCTGTTGGCCAAATAGCTAACTCACACACACTCACTCCCATAGAGTCGGTACAAAAGCACGGTGACCCTATAGACCAGGGCAGAACTGCACCTGTGGTATTCTCAGACTGTAACTCTTGATGGGAGTTGAAAACCCAATGGCTGGTGGTTTTGAACTACTGGTCTTATGGATTGCAGCCCAACTAATAATCACTTAGCTACCAGACTCCTGTCTTCCAAATGTTGGTATAGATTGTGAGTTCTTCCCATGCTTCATCCACTTGCTGAAACACTTCAGTTGGTATTCCATGAATTCCTGGAACCTTGTATCTGGCTAATGCTTTTAGTGCAGCTTGAACTTCTTCCTTCAGTTCCATGGGTTGTTGCTCATATGCTACCACTTGAAACAAAAGTTGGCTGTTGGACTAAGTCCTTTTTTTAAAATTTCTGTTTTCTTTAGCACCTAATCCAGACATCATACCGTTCCATAATTCAACCAAAGCAAGTGTTGTACAATTGCTACCGCAGTCAGTTTCAAAACATCTTCTTTCTTCTCGTATTCCTTGATATCAGCTCTTCATTATAACGCCACCTCCCCTGCCATACTTCCCGGGATCCCTTACTTTAGTGATTTTCTCTATAAATTCATCCACCCTGGCCTTCATAAACTGAAGCATAGAAGAATACATAGCAGAGAGTCAATATAGCAATCAACAATGATGAAATACAACAGAGAAATACCATAATATGAAAAAAACCCACAAAAATATTAAAAACCAGATCAAGGACAAAGTGTGTCAGAAGGGAGATCAAATGACAAGATTTTAATCTTTCAAGTCAGATTTATCATTTTAATCCACTATGGTTATTTCTCCAATCCTCTGTCTGATAACCAGGTTATTCCCATCCCTGGATTATGGTTAGAGGGACCTCACTGGAGGGTTATTCCCTGGGTAGATCATGAAAATATATTAGGGCTTCCACTGTCATCCATAGCCTTCTGCACACTAGAATCTCACAGTATAAGTTCTGATACTATTCCCTCCTTCTTGATTTGGATTATATAATTTATTTCCGTGGATCATGGATGCTGGTGTGCTTCTTCTATGGGGGCTTAGTTGACACCTCACAGAGATGGTGGATTGTTTGAAAGCGAGTCATTAAGATCCCAGATGCTGTTCGTTCTGATAGGCAGGTACCATCTAGTGCCTTCACTACCCTTGGCTGCAGCACTCTTATTGTCTGTGTTCCCCTCAGGAGGACGAGGATCCCGTAGGGGTATGTTGTAAAGACAAATTGTTCTTTGATTGGAGTTAGGATTACATGTGAGCCCAAAATCCATTCCTGACTCTATGTTTTCTGTCTGCCTCTGTGTTATTTATACTAGAGAATCTTATTCATCATACCCCTGTGGCTCGTTCTTTTTGGCACAGTGACTCTGTGCATTCTTTCTATTTTTAAAAATGCTTCCTGCGTCATTCAATATTTTGCCTATATAATCTTTCAATATTGCTACAAAGCTTGATTTTTTCCCCTTAATTCTTTCAGGTTAACATACAATAAATCTTTTCTTTCTTTTAGGTTTTCTAACTCTAGGTCTCTGCACATTTCATTATAATGTTGGCTTTGTTTTCTCCAAACTACCCTTTGAAGATTTCTGTTCAGCTTTTTGACTTCATCACTTCTTCCCTTTGCCTTAGTGACTCTAAGATTAAGAACAAGCTTCTGAGTATCTTCTGAATGCCCCTCTTTTTATTTTCCCTATTTGTAAAGACCTTTTGCTTTCTTCATATAAGATGCTCTTGATGTCATCCCACAGCCCGTCCGGTCTTTCGTCACTAGTGTTCAGTGTGTCAAATCTGTTCTGGAGGTGTTCTAGAAATTCGGGTGGGATAGTGCAATGTCATATGTTGGCACTCACGGACTTGTTTTAATGTTCTTTAGCTTCAATTTGAGCAATTGATATCAGCACCTGAGCATCTGAGCCATTGAGTCCCAGCCCGTAGCCTCATTTTAGCTGTCGATATTGATCCACTCCATGGTCTCTTCCCAAAGATTGAGTCAATTTGATTTTAATGTATTCCTTCCTGAGAAGTTGTTGAAAAAAGTTTTTCTGATGAAATAACCTTACAAAATTTTATCACTAGATCTCCAAATTGTTTCTATTGACAAGACCTTGCTTTCCCACTACTCTTCCTTCCTCTGTGTTTCCAACGTCTGCCTTCTGATTGCCAATGATAATCAATGCAGCCTGATTGCCTTTTTCATCAATTTCTGAGTGAAGACAGTGGTGCAATTCTTCAATCTCTGCATCATTAGCTTTAGTGTTTGGTGAATAAATGTGTATAATAGTTGGGTTTCCTGGATGCTTTTTATACAAACTATATATTATCCTACCACAGATAGCATTTGTACTTTAAGATAGAACTTCAAATTCCTTTTTGACAATGAATATGACATCATTCCTCTGGAGTCTGTCATTCCTGGCATAGTAAACCATGTGCACTTCAGATTCTACGTGGCCTATACCAGTCTATTTCCAACCAATTACATCAATCTTTTTGCGTTTCATTTTACTTTTTCAAGCTTCTGATGTTCATTGGTTCACACTTTATGCATTGCAAGTTCTGATTATTAATTAATGTTTGTAGCTGTTTCTTCACGTTTTGAGTGATGCCCCGTGAACAGAGGCAGGTCCTGAAGGCTTTATGTCCACAGGTTTTCCTTCATCTAGGTCATTATCATCTACCCTGTTCTGAGAAGGTCGCTCTTTCTCAGTCATATTTTGGGTGCCTCTGACCAGAGGGGTGCGTCTTCAGACACTATTTCTAACAATAGTCCCCTTCTATTAAGGGGATTTTCAGTGTCTGATATTTCTATTTTATCCATAAAGTTTTCACCGACTAATTTTTTAGAATTGGATACCCTATTCCTTCTTTGTGATCTGTTTCAATCTAAAAACTCTTTGGGTGACCCTGCTAGTATTTAGTAAACCAGCATCACTGATGGCAGCACCCACAGCCACCACAATACTGAAAAACTGATAGACAAGCTGTATTGTTTGTGCTGCGTGATTTAATTAACACATACGGGAATGGCAATGTTAAATCATTGTGGTTACAACTCCATGTATACAGTAGTAAGAGAAAAATGGTAAGCTGCAGCTTTAGATGTGGTGTTAAAGGGGAAAGGGACTGAAACGCATGTCTAGCAAAGCAATTGGTGTGATCAAACTCTAGCTTGAGGGGTCTTAGTCAGACGACTGGGCTGAGGTAAGGGTAAAATCCACAGATTAGAAAGTGAGCTGAAAGATTGAGTCCATCAAGAAAGACTTAACTTTATTGAAGACTGTGGTGAAATAAAGCTGAATATTTTATACACTGTAAAGGATGAATTAGAACCCCCAAACTCACAAGTTATATTTTTCAAGCATTACAGTTGAAAAAAATGATAGACATTTGTGAAAACAGAACTATGTTTATGAAATAGTAATTGGAGACTTCAGGATGATCAGTTTATTATCTGACATGCCGAGGATTGCTATGTAATATGTGTAATACATAAAGTAAATTACTTTTACTTTTGAGAAAGTAATTATTTAATAACAATTGAAAGACATATTTGTCTTTTCATGAAAGTAGTATAAACAATATTTAACAGGAAGAGGAATACTTTCGAAAATATGTATTGTTGTTGTTGAGAATATTTGCTCCAACTTGTTTTCTGATTTATTGTTTCAGCGCCGTGTGGCGGTCATTTCTCAGCTCCCAGTGGAGTGATCCTCTCACCAGGATGGCCGGGGTACTATAAAGACTCCTTGAATTGTGAGTGGGTGATTGAAGCTGAACCTGGACATTCTATCAAAATTACATTTGAAAGGTCTCTGCAAATATTTTTTCTTCCAATTTGCTAAAGTTTATCTAAAAGAATAGTTGAAGTTTTCCATTTTATTTGCAAAAATCAGTGTATAATTTTATTGTAATTGTCAATTATGTAGCGTGAATGTTTCAGACTGTTTGCATCCTTTTAACCTTTCAGCTGGTTTTCAAGTAAAGTATTTTTATTTGTTTAATGCCGTATTAGTACCACTGAGATATGCAAGCTTGACCTTTGTTACTTTATACATGTGCACAACACTGAGATATAAACACATGACCTTTAGCTTAATGAGTTTACTTGTCCTGTATTTTGAAGAGTCTGTGAATTTTGCTTTGCTAAGTTTCAAGAGGAAAAGGTGTTGTAAACATGTTCAAACCGATATTATATTCTGGCCAAGGAAAGTTATGCAAATGGCCCATATTCTTACACACTAATCCTCTGTGGGGGCTGGGGGTTAGAATGGTCATGTCAAGTCATTTATATATAAATGATTGTCCAGTAGAATATTTGTTGGGTTTTTTTGTTTTGTTTTCTTGAAGGGAATGAATATTATTGGTCAAAGTCATCTGTTTTTTTAAAAGAGTGTAATATAGACAATTGAAAATATAAAGGAACAGATTTTTATCTGTGATTGAATCACCTTGCTCTTCACAAATACAATTAGAAGAGTCTATATGAGGAAAATTTCTCCAATTAACGTTGTTTCCTTCCTTCATCTCCCCACCTTCTATAACAAACAAATAAACAATCACAAAAACCATATTTATAAACATAGTCTCAACGTGGTAGACACATTTCTTGATTAGGGCCTGATGATTATATTTTAAGTCTATCTACCTAAAAAGAGGATAAACCCACTGCCATTGACTGGATTCTAGTTCATAGTGACCCTATATAGGATTTCTGAGACTTAATGTTTACAAGACCAGACAGCCTCCCGCCACCCCCTACCCACTGCCACACACACACACACACACACACACACACACACACACACACACTCAGTGGTTGGTGGGTTGAACAGCCAAATTTTCCATTAGCAGCCTAATATCTAATAGACAGCACCACCAGAAGCCATTAATCAATATACAGAATTATGTGAAAAATTCCTACATAGTATATATCCCGATGTTATATATGGGACAAAGATGAAGCACTCTATTTCCATAATAATTTACAGTCATGGAGACCCTATGAACAATATCACTTCATCCCTTAGGGTAGTGGTTCTCAACCTCCCTGATGCCGTGACCCTTTCATACAGTTCCTCATGTGGTGGTGACCCCCAACCATAAAATTATTTTCATTGCTACTTCATCACTGTAATTCTGCTACTATTATGAATCAGGCAACCCCTGTGAAAGGGTCGTTTGACCCCCAAATGGGTTGCAACCCATAGGTTGAGAACCGCTGCCTTAGTCATATCATCATTTTTTCTTAATTGAATGAAACCCTTATTCAAGCTCTTCTTTGTATTCTTCCATCCGCACTACATGGGGAAACAAAACCAGTTTACATTTCACAGGAAAGTGTCTTGGTGCTGAAGTGGTTGCACATAGAGCTGCAATTCACGAGGCCAACAGTTCAAAACTACCTGCCACCTCTGTGGGGCAAAGGCGAGACTTTCTCTTCTGGTAAAATGTTACAATCTCAGAAACTCACAGGGCCAGTTTGACCCTGTTTTTAGGGTCATTCTGAGTCATTATCAAATCTATGGCAGGTAGTTTTGGTTTGTTTTTTTAGACCACAAATTATAGATTTATAAACTGTTTATTTAAAATAATTTGGTAGTTTGGGGCAGGGGGCCAAGGTTAGTACAACCTTTATGAGGCGAAATTTAGTAGAAAATGAAATTAAAAGACAATGGAGTTTCCATGAATTTTTTAAGCACCTGTGTAGTAGTTGGCATGGGCATTGGTATCATAATTCCAAATAAGCTGGAGAGTCATCTTATTGATTCACTATCAGTTTTCCTCAAATAAAATTGATCTCTGTGGAACCCAAATTACCTGACTCTACTGTGTAAAACAGGAAGCTGGGAACATAGTATATCATATTATTAATTAGATATTTTTATTCTTATGTGACAAATAGGACACATATTTTTTAATTTGTTACATTTATATCATCACATTTGGAAAATTATTGTATTTGTCAAGCCATTATAATTAAATGAATATGTTAAGACACGCATGCATATCTATTTAAATACATGGTTTCTATATTACCTGTTCAGCTAAACAATAATTTTGTATCAAGGGTTACAATGTGAAGGTTTTGAAAATGAGTTAGCATATTTTAGATTGCAAACTATATAACCAAGATATCGCTCACTAGTTATTATCCTTCAATATTCAAATAATAGATTACAGCCCTACACCACATACAGCAAGACCTATAGATAAACCCACTACCTCACATCAATTTCAACTCACAGCAACCCTGGAGAATACAGTAGAACTCCCCTGAGGGTTTCATTGGGTTTGTTTTGTTTTTAAGCCATCTTTTAGACACTCTTAGAGACCCTCCCATGTGAACAGTACCAATAAATGCTACCATATGAACAATACAATTATTATTATTGTTGTTGTTTGTGAAATGGTTAAAAAACAGCATATAAACTCCCTCCCTACTGACAACTCATGTCTGCACCACATTCTTTCTTCAAGTGACTCTTTTGATAGAGACATTCTTTAACATGCAGCCACATTTCCCAGATGTAACAACCTTAAGTGTTTGGCTATGGCCCAAATTTCTCAGGCGGATGCTCAAACCATCATCTTTCATGTGGCCTGGAGGATGGGGCCAAATCCAGAAAGTGAGGATTAACGTCTCTGTATTTTACAATACAATGACGCCACTGAAATTGGTCCGTCCATGTCAGCATTAGCTCCACTTCTTTGCACACATCACCTAGTCAGGTGGGCTGGTGGGCTGGGGTTTGTACTGGAACCTGGGCTAGGTAAGAGGGTTCCCTAATCAGACATGTCCATCAGCTGTGCTGCTTCTAAAGCGCTCAGGACCGGTAGTGTCACTTCCATCTAGGTCAGAGCTTGTTAAAAATATTAACCGCTGGGCCCCATCTGAGACCTGGTGGTGATCAGACCGTGGGATAGGGCCACTGATTTGTGTGTTCACAAGCCCTCTAGGGGTTCTGATGCCTCTCGAGTGTAAGATCTTCAGCGTTCTTCAATCCTCAGCCCCATAGGTGTTTTTCTTGATTGGATTCCAGTGCATCTTTCCCCATCACTAAATGATTCAGCTAGGGGTCCATCACTGTAGGCTCTGCAGTCAATCACTCTAGGCTCTGCAGAGAGACTCCAAAATCTCTCTGGTGCCTCAGCCAATTCCATGTAACCTCAAGGACACTTCTGTGACCATGAAGAGTGTATAGTGGAGATCATTGTTAAGTGTCATTGATTGGGCCAAGTCATTGGGACCCATGCAAAATGGAGCAGAGCACTGCAGAAGCTAAATCTTTACTGGAGCAGAAAATCTCACCTCTCCCGCCACTGACAAATGGGTTTGGATTGATGACCTTGCAGTTTAGCAGCCAAATATGTAACCCACTACACCACCAAGGCTCCTTGTGAGTCATCTAGGTCTTCTTTGAATTTTTAGAGCATTCCAATGGATTCTTTTATTCATTTCTAACTCTGAATGCTTGCTCCCAAAATTACTGCGTGAAAGGTACCAACACTGCTGTAACCTTTCAACACACTATTCCTTTGAAACCCTTCTCCTCATTGTCAAGAAAAACACTCACACAAGAAAAGATAACCAGAGAGGATCGTTACTCAATCCAAAGTAACTTAAAATTCAATGAACTTTCACTGCCCTAACGATTTTTGGTAATCCCCATAAAAGGAAGGATTAACTGTATTTTTCTGGTCTCCTTTCATCCCAAATCCATCCCATCTGTCATCTTCACTGTACGCTGGAAGTACGCGCGGGGCTGCACCTTGCCCTTTGCGTGTTTTTCACATTTTCCCCATTGAGCATGAACCTGTTCTCTTAAGAGTGAAAGCCATTCACTCTCTTCAGTAGACTCAAACTATAACCAACTTTTAAAATCCTTTCATGTGCTTGCATCCAGTTTTAACAATGTGTTTATACATTCAATCATAGTACAAGAAGATTAGCACATGGCTTATTAGCACAATATTCACATTTCTGTTAAAAAGTGCCCCGGGTTGTTTCATAAGAGTCATTAATCCTCTTAAAATAAATAAATAAGCATGTCATCTCTGAAAACCCAAAATAGACTGCTTAGAGTTGTCCACTGACGAAGTAGCTTGATTGGGAACGAAGTCTGACGTTGAGTGCATCTCCCCCCAGGTCTTCAACTCTGGGCACTTAATGCGAAGCCATGCTTTTCTCTGTCCAAAGTTTTTGACACATCGGTCCACTCTCTCCAAACAGGCAGTTACATGGCCTTCTCCACAACTTTGTGAAATATATCAGACCAATAGCAAATTCTTTCTTAAAATCAATTTCTCCTCTTACTCTGACGATTTTAAAAATTAACTTCCAAATAGTTAATGGTAAATGATACAGACTAAAACCACTTAATTTCTCCTGTTCAGAAAGAACATCAATGAATATGGCTAGAAATGATTTTTAAAAATCAGAATATAATTTGGATTGTGGCATAGCAATTTTGTATGTTTCTATATTCTCAAGGGTATCAAAAGATTGACATTAATATTCTGAAAAATATAAATACATCATTATAATTAGCCTATATTCAACAAATATATTAGCCATTTGCTGGTTTCTTGAGGTTTTCTCTGAGAGTAGCTTAAGTCATCGGAATTTTATGAGCTATGATTTCATGTCAGAGACAAAACAAAATAGGTATAATGACAACACCAACAAACACTTATGTACTTAAATTGTTTAATTCCCAATATAATATAACATACTAATATAATATAATAAATTAATGGCATAGTATAATAATATAATACCCAAACAATTAACAAGTCTTAATCTCAGATTTCACTAAAAATTTATTTCCCTCTTAGTTTCTACATTTTGGTAATCTAAATCAGCATTTTCAAACAACCTTGGCTTATCTTTCTGTTCTTTTTCTGTCCCTAACTCTCCAAATTCAGAATACCCATATCACTTTTCCATAGAGCATTTTTTCTTTTCTTTTTTAAACTGAATTAAAAAAATTTATTTCAGGACAAGTTTTATTACATCAGGGACCTTTACAAAGAGAACAAAAAGTGAGCAAAAGAAAATCTGATTTTATTTTTTAATATCATCTAGTCACTATGCTGTTCACTTATCAAAAATATGTTCATATCATAAAGAAATGAACACTTGAATGGGACAGTTTATGCGAAGTTTATTCAACTCTCATAAAACAAATGAAACCAATTCAAATTATTGTGTAGCTCTTTCCCATTTTCCTTGTTACTATAATGTCTTTTTATAGAGCCTAAGGGCAAATCTGTGATGACTTGCTTTCTAACAACTCATGCCCACTGAACAATGTTCTCTCCGTCCCCGTTTAACGTTGCTGCTCTATTAGGAATTAAGTCCCTTTATGTGTCAATTCAAAGTAATATCTGACGCTTCTGTGCATTTCAATTTGGTCTGTGTCAGATGACTAGCTATCAAAGTGGAATTCCAGTTTCAAAACTCAGAATAGATTGACTCCAAAGTAACAAAATAATGGATTCACCTAGGATAGCGGCCTCATCATTTATTAAAAGGACATTGTGTTTTCCCACATATCTTTTTCTTTCCTTTTATGATAAATATTACTTTAGACAAATGCAGTATATTCAAAATTGCAAAACTCGAAGTAAGCCTTATAAGAATAGCTTGCTTTAATATAAGCCTAGCAAGATATACCAATGCTATACAATTTAAATATTTCAAATATGCTCATTGGATAATATTACACACTAATTTTGACTACTGTAGAAATGTGTATTCCTGTAGAAATGTGTATTCCAAAATCTGAAGTATCTGTAGGACAATCTTTGTAAAGTTAGGGCAAGGACTATCTGTTCTTGGCAAGGGAATACAATGAAATCTCTAATCTTGACTCAGATTCGGTATAACCTTTCAGTTTTAGGGGGAAAAAAAACTATTTGACCAATGTATGTTCTGTGCAGTTTATGAAATTGTACCTTAAAACAACTAACGCAAAAGCAGCAATGTAGTGTTCTTGTTGCTGTGTGCTCTTGTATCAATCCTGACTCACACCAACACTATCGGTCAGTGTAGAAGAAGTACTGCGTGGGATTTGCTAGGTTATAATCTTCACAGGCACAGAATACAAATCTTTTCACCCACTAAACCACTGACAAATTCAAACCACCAATCTTCCACTTCCCAGCAAAGCACTTCATCATTGCCCCATCAGGACACTTACAGCAGCAATAACAACCAAAATTTCTAACAATAAAATCAGTCACCATATCATAGTGGTTAGAGTCTGTGAAACCCGAATTTAGTTTTTACTTTGTCTTTTAGGAACAGTTAATACTATTTAAGTCCTGAAGGCATCCGTTTTCTTATTTGCAAAGTGAATATAATAATAGGAGCAACTTTACAGGGCTAGTGTAATGATTGGAGCTGTGGTGTAGTGGGTTATGTGTTTGGGCTGCTAACCTGAGGGTCGGAAGTTCAAAACCACCGGCCACTTCACAAGAAATAAGATGTGCCCTTCTATTCCTGTAAAGAGCTACAGACTCTGACACCACTAGGGCAGTTCTACTCTATAGGTTCATCATGACTCAGCATCGACTCGATGATAAAGAATTTGATTTTGAGTGTAATGATTAAATGAATGAATGTACATAACATAAGGTATGTTGTCCAGTCGTAGGCACTTAGTAGACTTACTATAGCATTATTACCTGATAGGTCTCTTCAATTCAGTTCCCAGTCATATATCGACCTTATGTACAACAGAACAAATCATTATTGCCTACTGATAATTAAAATCACTGTTTTGGAAAACAAACCACGAGTATATAAGGGTTAGAATAAGCAAAGTAGATTTTCAAAAATAACCCATATGAAAATGGAAATCAAGTGGGAAATACATATGATTTTAAAATAAGAATCTGCTTCTCTGAATAAAATATATGTATAAATTATAGTTTTACACAAGAAATGAAAAAGAAAAAAAGTTGTTTCCAAGACTTGTTTGGTCCATGAAAAGACTGTTTTTTTAATAAGTATAATCTATAACATTTGAAAGAAATTTTGCTTATATAAAACAAATATAGTAATATAGTTTTTTGGTTTTTTGTTTTTTTTATTTTTTTATTTTTTATTTTTTTAACATTTTATTAGGGGCTCATACAACTGTTATCCCAATCCATACACACATCAATTGTGTAAAGCACATTTGTACATCGTTTCTCAAAACATTTTCTCTCCACTTAAACCCCCGACACTATGTCCTCATTTTTCCCCTCCCTCCAGTAATATAGTTTTAAATAATAATTTCCCAGAGGAACTAGAGTTTATAATATTGGTATTCACAACACATGGGATCTTAAATTATATAGTGAGTATTAGATAAGCTAAAAAATAAGTATTAAATAAAATGATAAAAAATTAGTAATATAAATAGCAAGTGAAACATCACATTTTCAAATAGTATTATACTAATAAAGTTCTTTTCTTCACCTTAGATTTCAGACCGAACTGAATTATGATGTTTTGGAAGTTCACGATGGGCCCAATCTTCTGTCACCATTGCTGGGATCGTATAATGGCACACAGGTGCCCCAGTTCCTATTTAGTAGCAGTAATTTCATATATCTTCTATTTACAACAGACAACAGCCGTTCTAACAATGGTTTCAAGATCCATTATGAAAGTAAGTAACACCAAGTTTTCTTTGAATTCTACCTCGGGTTTTCTCAACAGTTGATATTGCCATCATATCAATAAAAGAACCAGTAGTTTTATTTTTTTAAAAGCATCAAAGCTTCCCTTGATGTATGAGAATGCTAATGGTTTCAAAACTGCAGTCTCTATTAAATTTTACAGAGTGTTCAACAACATATTATTTGGAAGAGAAATAATAACAAAATGTCAGAGGTATCAAATTATAATTCTTAAAATGAGTTCATATAATCATTGTGTACCATTCTAAAAAATAGACAATACAGTGAATGTCAGTCTGAGATATGCATGAACAATAATATCTTCTTTTTGGATTCATTTAATACTTCAATTATTCTTTTATAATTTACTCATCGAATTGAAAACATTTTCCATTTAAAATATCCAGTTGTAGTGTTTTGTCTGAAACCTTGAAAAATTGCATTAACATTAAAAAGAAAAACCTTAACATATACATTCAAATCTAATTAGCAAAGCTAGTCAAATATCATACTGAAACAACCTATAATCCAGTGTTGAAATCAATTTATATTAATCTCTTATCATAATTTGGTTTAAAAACCTTTAACTGTTTCAAATTTATAAAACATACAAATTGTATGTGATGCTGATACATACACAAGAAGACATCTCTTCTCCTTATAGCCATTTACGCATTTATCTGTGCAGGGATGTCCCACATATTATCTGTGAGTGTGGCCATGTAGAAACTCACATGTGCACACATTAATCTGGACATGCAATGCCACGTCCTTTTGTATAAAAAAACTCTTTTGGTGAGTGGACCTAAAATTAAACCAGATGATTGGTGCAAGATATTTGACTGTATATCGAGCAGATATATAGATAATATATTATTTCTTTGTGTATTCTCTTCTCCTACTCTCACATAAACAGAATACATTGTTTCTGCATTTAAAATTCACCAGTTTTTGTTATCTGTTCAATGTCTCTCTTCAGTAAATATGTTTAATGGACTTTTGTGTTTTAAAACAGTAACCAATATATATTCATTATTATCTCCTTAATATTCTCACCCACACTATTATTTAATTACTTTTGCTTGTCTAGAGCACGAGACACGGAAGCCTAGTATCTACCAACTGTCATAAACATAACAAGCCAATCTGTACATACTGTACATACTTGGTAATTCAAATTACAAAATCTAAATTGATCTCTTTTGTTTCACATGTATTTGTAAAGCTGAGGTATAATGAGTCATCTTTTGAAATCTAGTTCAAAACTAATCGTTAGAATTCTTATTAGCAATTAATTCACACAAACACCCTGCCGGTGTTGTACACCTCTGTGTGCAGTAAATCACGTCCAATCCAGCGCCACACAGGTCAGTGATCTTTACCATTTTCCAGACACGGGCTGTTGTTTTAAGGATTAAATGAAACCATACGTGTGAAGTGTCAGCAAATGGGTTGACATGCAGTAATCTCTCAATAAATGATAGCGTTTGTGTTTTGGCTACAAAAGCAAACCAATGAGGGACAAAAACGAGAAATCCAGCTCAAATGGATACCTTCAGTCGGCAAGATAGTCACCTTGTTGACCTACTCCCAATTATTGCGGAGAGCAAGGGCCCAAGGAGACAAGGGGGCCTCTGAGCCCGGAGCTGCCTCCGTGGGTTAGACACCCGTGATCTGGCTTTGTGCCATCCTGGCTAGGAGCCAGAGGCTATCCATTGAAATCTGTGTTCAAAAGATCACTTTCTTGACTTTTTATTCAGTCAGTCACGTGACTGGCTAACTATTGTGAGATAAACTCCAACATCGCACACATATTTTTTTCTTATGTTGGATTATTTTACAATTACAATTTTGTTGGATCGTTTGAAATCTTCTCCGATAATAAGCGCCGGATAGAAAACATCGAAGCGAAAGAAACAGAAAATGCAAACATCGACACAAATATCCATCACCAAAGATTTATTTTAAATGCATCTGTAGATACACTCCCCTTCTCGGCTGTCCGTTTGTTGCGCTGCAGCGGCTCAGGATGCTGGAAGCTTCTACGCCCGCAGTGTGTCAGACCAGACGGAGAACAGGTTTCAGCAGAGCTTTCAGACTGAGAACAGACAGCAAAGTAGGAATGAGCTGTCTCCATCGACTGAGCAGCCTCTGAAAACCTTCTGAACGGAAGAGCATTTTCGACAGAGTGGCAGGAGGGGCTCCTCACACCGGAAGCACTCAAAAGCAAATTAGCCTAGATCTGTCTCCCAAAGTAGAGCTAAGGGTGTGCCATGGATAGAGTCAAACTGTGGGACCTTCATTTGCTGATGTGGCATGACTCGAAATGAGAAGACACAGCTTCCAAGTTCCTTTAATACTAGAACTCGTTATGTACGAACTGCCCATGTGGGTTTCCAAAGCTGTAAATCTGCGCAGCAGTAGGAAGAAATCTCTGTCTTACCCCTCAGAGGGGCTGCTGGGTTCGAAGTGCTGACCTTTGGTTGAACAGTGCAACGTACAGTCTCCTGAACCATCCAGTTGCACAAAACAGATCCGACATGAGAAACTTCGCCAAGAAAGGTTACATATTATTATTTTATGGACTTTGAGGAAGGCCATAGATAATGGAAGAGAAATAGTAAAAGGTATCATTATTCTTTTCAGTAGAGAGAGTATATTTGAGAAATACTTTGTGGAGAAAAATAGAATGACCAAGATTCAAAGATAGGTGAGTTTTACAGATTTGAGACTCGAGGGAAAAAAAGCCCAAGTGGCTTAGAAGAGGAATTTCTTAGGCCAAAGTAGTTATGCTGAAGAGAAAATGCATCTGATTTGGGTTTTTTCCTCACCAAATAAACAGCAATATTTCAATAAAATCAAAATATATGTATATATCGATATATATTCACCTGTAGTATATCTAAATTTACAAACAACATTCACATAAGAAAATTCGTATTAGTTGCATTGGCTACCTATTTTTTAAAAGGAACTACACAAATACATAAAATGGACATTTAACTTTTAAAAAGACTCAAGTACATTTTAAGTATATAAATCTTCCACTAATTTTTTTTTTAATTTTTAAATATTTTGTTGTGAGCTGTGGAAAGACTACAGAGAAGGCCATCAGTTTATATTCGTTAGACATTTTATTTCTTCCTGTTCATTGCAGAACCCTTGAAACATCTGTATTTTAGTATTGATTTAGCTTCTCTTTGAAATCAGGTAGCTAATACAAATAGATACATTCTCGTAGGACTGTTTTTTCAATATAAGTACACAACTTTGACGATACTAAATAAGAAAGTATAGTTGCTTCTTAAATCTTCCCTTTAGGAAAAATTAAAATAGTTCTATGCTATGCATGTCATCAGTAATTCTCACCTGCTACGCAGATCAGACCATGCCTGGGGCAATTTCGTGCGCAGGGACTTTTGGACAATATCTAGATATATCTTTGGTTGTCACACTAGAGATTGGTATTGGTATCTTTAGGTAGAGTACAAGTACGAAGGTAAGCAGCTTGTAACAAACAGGCCAATTTCCCACAATAAAGAATTATCTAGTCTGAAATGACAGTAGAGCCACCTTTGAGAAACCAGGCCTGAGGGGAAAAGCACTCAGGTTGTTACTGGTAGCACTAAGGAGTGTAAATCACAAGAGAAATTATTGTTAAGTGTATGGCACTATATGACAGACTCCTGAAAGCCCAGACAAGTGGCTGCAAGAGCAATTAGGGTGTTTTATTTAGAAATATTCTGGTGTAATTAGGAAGATACTTAGCAAGATTCTGGAATATGCGTTCTTTTAAATATGATTCCTATTAAAATTATAAATATCTAATTCAGAAGTTATCTAGAAAATTAAATGCAAAATTAAGTAAAGTATAGTATACTATTTCATATTATTATATTATATGTAGAAGGGTATATTAAAAATAAATTTATTAGCCAAATCTATCAAAATGTAAAGTAACTGTTTCTCAACATATCCTGCACTTAGGCCATAAACACTTCTGAAGGTAGTGTTCCCACACCTTTAACCCTTTCTGAAGAAGTCTCTGATTTACACCTCATCACAATGGTAGTTTGGGCATCTCTGAGGAACTCACAGCATATAACTTTCCAATGCTCTTTGATTTAAGGGACGATAGTGTCTGAAGCGGCAATGTCAGGGATGTAGGGTGGAATTTTCATCGGCCAGCCATTCTACCCTCCAAGCATCAGTAGGTACTCTCTCATGATGGAAAAATCATTTCCTGCCCCAATTTTCCTGGACTTAATTTCTTCAATGAAGTTTTGAATTATCTCAAAATGTCTATGTGAGCTCCTGATTATTTTTTATTTTTCAATAAAAACCCTACAAGATTACCTTTTTGGAATCTCAAAAATTTGCCACCATAACCTACTGAGCTGATTTCTCTGCCTTGAATTTAGCTTTGAGGTCTCCTTAACAGGCTTAAAATGATTGATCCATCTAAAACGATTACTTCATGTTAGGCAGCATTCCCATAGACTTGTTCTAAAACTTGAATATTTGAGACAATGTCCACTCGAGTTTTGCTAAAAATTTGGTATTAGACCAAAGGAAAATCACTTTTTTCTATGACAAAATAAGTATCGTTTTTTTTAGGGCACCCTAGATAAAGATTGATATGAGTATATTTTTGAGAGAACTTGCCTGCCATCACTGATCGATCATAGAATCATGTTAAAACATGGTTTGTTTTGAATAAACGGATTCACATATGAACAGGAATTCTAGTAAATACATCCCTTTTGACTTACTTGTCTATTGGCTATGGACAAAGAATCAAATATTTCCTAAATAATAAAATGGACTTTTAATGATTAAACTAATTTCATATGCTTGTTTTAACAATTAAGAGAAGCAATACTTATCAAATATTTTAAACTAGGATTGGAACATAATAAGAGTTGCTACATTTTTAAAATTCGAAAATGAAAGCTAATGATATAAAACAGGTTAGGTCACTACATTTTCATTATAATTAAAATAAAAGAATCTGATCTTGGTTGGTTAGAAATATCAAGGAAGATTAATAACGTACAGTGTTCCTATATAACACTAGGGCTGCATTGACAATTGCTAAATCGTTACAAGCAGTCATTTGAAGAAGGAAGGATCTTTCATAGCCCCTCAGGCTCCCCTCAGACTCACTCGTGTTGTGTTTCCTTTGTGCCCCAGGTGTTATCGTGAACACGTATTCTTGCTTGGATCCTGGAATACCCGTGCACGGCCGTCGCTACGGTCATGATTTCTCCATCGGGTCCACTGTTTCATTTAGTTGTGATCCCGGATACAGACTGAGTCACGAGGAGCCTCTTCTATGTGAAAAAAACCACTGGTGGAGTCATCCACTCCCCACTTGTGATGGTAAGAACACATCCAACAGGCAAAACATGCAGATATATAAACAAACCAGAGAGAGAGAGAGAGAGAGAGAGAGAGAAAGAAAGAAATTAGCCTAGTCTTTATACATTTATAAATATGAATGTGCTTTATTCTTTAAAGATTATCAAAACATTGGCAATTATGTTGTTGAACCAATAATAAAGAAAATAGAAAGTACTGATAATTAAGAAGGATGGCAAATGTGTTGTTTCAAATATGTCGATAATCATTTAAGATACATATTGTATTTAAACTCAACAAAATTGCATTAAAATGTTAAGTTGGCTTGAAATGAGTGTATTTGAAATGCTATGGCGTTTGCCTCTCATCATGGAATGCAGTCTCTTCTATTCCAAATGGCAGACCAGGCAACCCTTCAGGTTTTTTACCTAGCTGTAGAACATCACGGTAGTTTGTCCAGACAGCCGGTAATCCCTCGTTATAATAACTCCTGTGCTAGTGTCATTGTTATAACTTTGTTTCACAGATAATAAACTGGAAAATTTTATGTTCCAAGGTACACAAGGGAATGCTGTGGGAGAAATTACTTTCCCCAACATCAGGATATGCATCCCCACTTGTCCTGTCAAAAGCACACATAATGTATCCCTGTGCCTGGTTATGGCACAGGGGGTATGCATCAGGCTGTTGACATCAAGGTCAGCGGTGCAAACCATGAACTACTCTGCAGAAGAAAGATGACTAGACTTTCTAGTCCCCTAAAGAGTTAGCGTCTCGGACCCCACAGGGGCAGTTCTACTCTATCCTACAGGGTTTCTCTGAGCCAGAAGCGACTGATGGCAGTGAGCTTGTGGTTTGGTCTGCACATATTAATTCTGCGTGTTTATTTCTATGTATGGCACTATTTCTAACTTCTATTCTTCTTTTCCATGTAGATCACCTTTTTCCCTTTCTTTCTGGTTAAACCTTCAAGTGCTATCAGCAATATCACTTTTTAAGTAGCAATGTTAGACCAATTTGCTTTTATAACAAGATTGGAAAGAAAAATCAGCGAGCCTCCTGGTATTGGGCACAATGATATGCATATTAGCTAGCACTCTTGTGATTGAAAGTGACAAAAACTCAACTCTAACAAGTTTAACAAAATAATAAAAGCAAAAATTTTTTCTGCTTGAATTATTCACATTTCAGGAAAGGCAGTGGTGGCATGATCTCACGGCTAATTACGAGCATACATTAACTATTTTCTAGAATCTTCTCGGCTTTCCTCTGTGTGTGGACACAATTATCTTCAGCTGCAACTAGGCTTTCTTTCTTTTTTTTTCATGTGGGAAGTTCTCAGTAGTGAACACACTCTCAAGGTGATGTAGATTTATTTGGCCTTATCTTCAGGATCAAAGACTAATGAGAGTTTTGCTTGTTCAGACTAGATCATTCTCAGAGAAAAAAAAAAAGAGTATTTGATTGACCCCCGCCTGGAAGAGGTACTGCCTCAAAGGAGAAGGGCCTGTGACAACTAGCCTCTGGCAGGCCTTGTGCCCCTCCCTACAGTTGAGACAAAGGATAATGGTGTACAGTCTAGGTACCACTTCAGAGAGACCCTAATGATGTTATGTGATTAGCATGAGTGAAGAGAAATTCCCTAAGGAAAGCAAATCTGTAGAAACCATGTTATCAGGAATAGTGAGGGTTAATCAAGTAAGAACATTTTGCAGGTATGTTGACTCGCTTCGTTTTTATTAATAAAAAAGGTGAATATCTAGTTTTCCAGGAAACATCACAGACCCTCCTTATCTTTCACCAGTGCAACTCCTGATCTTAAATGAATGTCTAATTGTTTCAATCTAAGCTCCTTCCCACTAAGGCTATTTCAGGTTGTAGCTACATCAAATATACCCCATGGCTTTAAGTTGCCTAGAGAGGACAGTCCAAATTCCTAATCATAGAAGCCAGAATTCTGAGCCTGCAAATCTCGTCTTTCCTAATTGTCTTCTTTCTGTTGTCTTACAAAGACTCCTTTTTTGAAGGAAGATCAGATTGTATCAATTTGCACCTCCAGCTTATCTGTCCTCTTATTTTGGATTCCCGTTTTTCCCTGAGTGTAATTGGACAACGTCTACATAGAATTCCACCCCACAGTTTCAGAGCGTTAGAAGTTGTTTTTGTCAGGTTCCCACCTTGCTGTCATGTTGGTTTCCTCTCCTGGCAACTGCAGGTACCTCAGAGTGAATCACTGCCTGGTCCTGCACAATCCTCAGAAGTGTTGTTCGGTTCGATCCCGTTGTTGCAGCCACTGTATTAATCTATGTCTTTGAGGCCATTCCTCCTTATTGCTTACCCTCTATGTTACCAGGCATGATGTGCTGTTCCAGGGACCAGTCTTTCCTGAGAACAGGTCCAAAGCACAGAATCTATTCTAGATTCTCGCCTTCCAAAACCTGTCATTAAGTCAATGCTGAATCATGGTGACCCCCCCAGTGGGTTTAGGAGACTGTGACAGTTTATGGGAGTAGAAAGCTGTGTTTGTCCCATGGAGCAATTGGTGATTTTGAACTGCTGACACATAACCACTAAGCTACCAAGTTTCCTTCAGTCTCTGACCTTAGCCTCTAAAAATGAGCTCTTAACAATTGTTCATTAAATTGACTGAACTCAGCAGCCATCTTATCACCTAATAACCTGATCTGACTTATGCCTGACCTCTAATCTAAACCTTTTAAAGAGTGGCAACTGATCTAAATCCCTTTGGGTTCACACGGGGGGG